TGTCGCTTGTGGCAGAACGGGGTTGTGGGGACGGTGGCCTCTACAGCAGAGCAACGAGGCTTCAACTGTTCGGTACATTGCTTTCGACGCCTACAAGCGTTGATATAGTGTCTCGGGTTTTACCTTCTTGGCCAGGTTCAATGGCGTCAACGCGGTCGGGGGCCTCGATAAACCTCCTTGAAATATCTAGCCGATTGTGCCTTTTTCTTTCCTATGACCGGGCCTCAGCACGGGTAAAAAAATGGCTTCTTCTTGTTGTTTTTGTTGATCTGTTGCTCGTGGCGCCTACCCACTGTGGGGGATTGGCCAAGTATTGAGTGGTTTCATATATTGATGTGCAGTTTTAAAATAGTGGAGGTTATATATTAGTAATAATAAAGATAGCCTAGGAAATTGTGGTGTTTGATCTGATGCCTATAATCATTTAAAGAAAAAGACCTATTCTTAACTTTGGCCACTAATTTGATATTTTATACGTATATATTGTTGTAGACACATTAGGGGAATAATACAGAAATATTAGTCAACTGATCAGTTTCATTATTACAGTGCCTGACAGCCGCGCTATTCTCGCACGGGAGAACCCAGAAATGGAGGATCCAAATGGCAAAAGGACAGGCACAGGTAAATCCATACCACTACGACGTAAAGGTATTTATATAGGTGTTTTTCGTATTGTAGTAAACCACCTGCAGATTAAAAATAAGTGACTCATTGTTTTCAGTTCACCACAGAATGCGCACAGTGGCGAAGGTGCCTGAGCAGCCCTGTGTTCGTAGAAATATGGATTCTGTACCCTAAAGCGCAGCTTGTTTCTTCCGGCTTCCTCTTCTTTTTCAATGCACGCCGTTTACGAGCGATTCCTTTGTGGCATTGAAACACTGAATAGCTGGTATGCACATCGATTATGACTGGTCGTAAAAATATACCTTGCATGAAAATGATACGCTTTCAGTATGTGGCCCACACTTGCACTGGCCGACTCCACAGTGATAAAATGTGTGGGTCAGTTATTTTCATGATAACATTAGTTGTTTTCAGCACCACCCCGGTCCCTTATCCCGATATCAAAACGGCACACGAAATGTGGACGTATTGATGCGAAACTTTATTGGTAGTCCTGAGGTGCACTGCTCAGTGCACAGCGGGCTGCTCTCGCCTTGGGACAGCCAGGTCAAGCCCGACTGTCGCATCGTGGGACCCTCGGACGCGTTCCACAATTGAGCCCAGGCATCCGGGGCTTCCGATAGTGGATAGTCACTTGCCTTCGTTGATTTGGTGTGATAGCTTTAGTTGGCTTTTCCCTCCATGTTACCTGCTGTATGACGGAACGTTGTGCCTGTTAGGTACTCGGTAGTTTTGCCTGTAAAAAAGGAAGTTAGGACGGCCAGTAAATACGTGAAAGCCTTGACGCCAGTTTGTAAAGCAGAACTCAAGCAGCTTCGCTCTAGTGGGGCCAAGTCTGAAAAAAAGCGCTCAGCTGGGTCACCTGCTTTCTATTTTTTTTTCTATTTTGTTATTTGCTTGCTTATTCCTCTTCTTAACCTTTATGTTGTTTCTTCTTCTATTTAAATTATTTTCTTTCTCTTTATTCATATATCTCTCTCGCTGCTTCTGGTCTTCTTCTTTTTTTTCTATTCATCTATTTCTTTCTGTCTGTTGCTTTTATGCTCTCGCTTTCTTTCTATACCACGCTTCGATCTCTCCTTTATTCTAGTCTTTCCTCCACAACCTAGCATGTCTCCTCTGCACCCCCACTTTCCTTTCTGACCCCTTTGCTGTAGTATACAACGCGAACCTATTTCGTGCTTACTTGCCTCGTTAAACGATGGGAACTCACCACACTCGCCTGCAGATCGCACGTGCTGGGCTTCGACTCTCGTTTTGCAAAAAAAACTTATCTTGCCTAGAATTTTTCACTTTCTACTTCTTTCTATCTCTTTCTTTCTCCCCGTTTGATTATATTTCTCGCGCGTTTTTGTGATTGATCTCTCGGCCACCACATGTATTTCATCCCTAGCCAGACAAACAGGCCAACGTGTTCTGGAAGCAACACAGAGGGAGGAGAGGACGTCTGCTTTCTCTGCACATGCCCTATTAAAGACAGCGATTCTGCTTTTGGCTCTATGTGCAGAAAGATGACCTTGCTGTAAGTAGCTTGGCAAAATCGTCGTCATGCGTGGCAGAGAGAGCATCTATAGAGCGCGCGAAGTTGTCACTGCCTAAACCACTCTCTGAACATACCCAGGCTGGTCTTTACTCATTTGTGATGTGCCGGTGTCATTGGCGTTTCATTATTGAGCACATGGCTGGTGCTGCACAGCATCTAACACGAGTAAAGAGCGGTGCTTGTATCGGATACACTGCTCTACATGGCGAGACACCAAGAGATGAAGCCTTTAGTGAGCGAAAATTGCACAGTAGCAACAGTTGTCTGGAATCTCACCAGGAGATGGTGCTCGAGTCCGTGACGCGTGCTGAATTAGATTTTCGTCTTCAAGCCGTCCCTACTTTTGTAGGTTCAAACAGGATAATCGCGAAGAAAAGAGAAAAGACGCGCTAAATAAAGCACGCAACAAATTGTTGCCACTCCATTCATATTTCTCAGATTAAAAAAATTTTCGTAAAAATCAACCCCTATTTGATGATTACGTCATTAACTAAAATCTGGTTCTATAAAAACAATCAACAACATAAAGACAGTATTTCTTGTAAAGAACAATTCATAGTTGAAGGATCATCTCTTTCGCACCAGCCTCGCTTGATTCGCAGAGTTCGTTCGCCGAAACTCACTTTTTTCAGCATCTCAGCAAAAAACAGCCCAAGTAAAAGAAGCAAGGTCTTGACACATTGATGAGGCAAACTCAGGATGATTTAAAACTTTTTTACGTTATTATCACGTAGAGCCAAGATGCATTGTTTTCCTGCGTCATCTCAACACTACCGGTATTTCATGTCATGAATTTTGAGCGCGCTAATAAATCAAATAGAAAGGTAGTGAGCAGAAGTTCTGCCATCAAAGTTTTCGAGAAAGCAAACGCAAATACGCTTGACGACAAGGAATACTCACCGAATGTGCATTCTATAGTTAGAGTGCATGTTTACAAGTTTACGAACACGTTTTGTGTGTGTCAATGTGGTGAACTCGGTGTGCAACTTCAAACTTGGCGCACGAAGATAGTAATTTAAATACCATTATTGCCACACTACCAGCGCCACGATGTGCCATTAGGGTTCTCTGAACACGTTGCTCAATTTACTATACGATCTCTTTTTTCTTCAAATTCTTCTCCAGCCCAGCTGCGATGGTCTAGTGGCTAAGGTACTCGGTCACTGGCCCTCAGGTTGCGAGATCGAATCCTGGCGGTGGCGGCTGCATTTTCGATGGAGGCGAAAACACTGTAGGCTCGTATGCGCACTTTCGGGGGGACGTTAAAGAACTCCAGGTGGTGAAATTCCCGGAGCCCTCCACTACGGCATCTCTCATTATCATGCGGTGGGTGTGGGATATTAAACCCCACATATCTACATAAATTCTTCTCCACTGTAAATGAAGAACAACTGAAGCGAACGCTACAATACAACACCGATATAATTTATCACTCATGATCTGAAAGAAATTTTAAAGTGGGGCCATTGACAGGTTAAAGTATTCGTGATGCCACATCATTTCAGTTCATGCGCAAACAACCAAGCACTGAAATTCCACATAATACGAACGTCCGTATACGAGTTACTTCAGCCTTATATATACTTCGGCAGCATAGTTGGTCTGAACTTACAATGATATTTAACGCATAACTACACTAAAAGGCAGAAGAGAGGACAGAGCACTTCGCCATGTCTTCTGTTTTGTAGTGCCGTCTTGCGCTAAAAAGTAGTACTATGGGTTACTACAGCCTCGGTGCCAAGAAGCAATAACATTTCGTCAATTATTATTGATGTCAACACATCAGTATGAAGCGATGTTGTCCGCATATACGTCGCTCTATGGATATACACCACTGGACTAATGATTTCCGTGATTTTCAAGATGTTACTAAAGTTTGCATGGTAGGCGCAGCAGTGAAAGCTATTTTTCTTCTGCGCAATGTTTGTGAATCTCCTACATCTGGTTTAACAGCTTTGTCTATCCAGTGGTATCGCTTTTTGTTGCGTCCATTTCTTTCTTCTTCAATGATAGTTGAAGCGTGAAACTGTATAGATGTAATTAAGTTATATTGAACTAGTTACTTTTACCTTCTCATGTGTAGGAGTACATTTCAGCATTGATTTCGTTTCTGCACTCAGAGGTTTTCTTCTTTTTCTAAGTTTGTATTCTGCACTCAATGTACTTTGCAATATTTCATCTAAGATTTCACTATTTTTAATGTATCACATTGTATATCTACCCCATCTCTGACTATGCAGATGCAATTTACGGTTTATTAGCGAAACAAAATGGACAATAGTTTTCTAGCTGAGATACATGCGTGCTTACTTGAACGTGCAATGCAATCACAGGATCCTCCCAAGAATGGTCCACGGTAATGTTGAGCTTGCCGTCAGGTCCCACAACGAATGACCTTCCTGTGCAGCCCGATGAGGTCATAATACCAGATATGACGTCGCAGTATCTTCCCGGGGGCAAAGAAGTTTGAAGAACTGCATCCAAGCGGAAGTCCTCGTTGTTTATGGCGACGAAAGTAGCATTTCCGCGACCGAACGCGATTGCATGATAGCCGTTGTCCCACCAGTTAGTGACAGACGAGAAGCCTGCCACGTTGTGCAGCTCGACGAGGTTGTAGATCTGTCTCCACCTGGATCATAATGAAATCGCTATTAAGTACACAACATATAAGCGCTATGCACTTCATATAGTGATGGCAAAAATTTATTTCTTCAGATGGCAGCCGAGGATGTTTCCATGTTAGATATGGCCATCTCCGTGTGAGATATGGTCAAGCTTAGTCCACATTTTCCTGTTTGTGGTGGCGTCATCGCATACGTTGCCGTTGACAATTGCACCGGCATTTTCCATTATCAATATCGCCTGCAGTATATGACCCACTATAGTTCCCATTGTCGCTTCCCTTCAGGTGAACATTCTGATAGGTTGTACATAATTTTCTCCGACAAGACAAAACATAAACACAAGTCTATGGTTGGGCAATCTGGATTGATTGATTATTATGTGGGGTTTAACGTCCCAAAACCACCATATGATTATGAGAGACGGCGTTGCGGAGGGTTCCGAAATTTCGACCACCTGGGGTTCTTTAACGTGCACCCAAATCTGAGCACACAGGCCTACAGCATTTCCGCCTCCATCGGAAATGCAGCCGCCGCAGCCAGGATTCAAACCCGTGACCTGCAGGTCAGCAGCCGATTACCTTAGCCACTAGACCTCCGCGGCGGGGCAGGGAAAGGGGGCAATCTGGATGTCTCGCCGCCACGTTCATCGCAGTAAACAAAGCCTGTGTAAGCTTTTCCGACTCAGCACATTTGCTTTCCCTCCCCTGTACCTCGTCTAAGAAAAGCATGCAATGCCTTCGGAACTCAGAGTTCAAAAGTAATTTCTTTTATTTCAGTGCTACAACGAATTCCGAATCGACACTGACTTTAATCTCTGCAGTCCCAATGTATTTCCTTACAGTTCTTACACGGGAATAATTTCATACGTCACTTTCCCGTAGAAATTTGTAGGTTAACGGTGAACGAATTTTTAAGAGAAGACACAGTAGCAGCCGACTGTATGTGTAGCGCCTTTCCTGTTTTGATGTTGCTTTTGCGGCCGCTATAAACCACGTTAAGAGCATACGGGGTGTTTCTGGCAGCAACGCTTTGTTTACCAGCTCATCTACTCCACTATCATTTGATTCTCTCACTTGCTATTCTTTTTCATTAGTTCGTTGACAAAAAAACGTTCTTGTTTCCTGCATTCTTAACATTTGAGCGATAACAGCTACTGGGTTGCCTTCACAATGCCTCAAAATTCGGCCTATTTGATGGAATCACCAAATGTATTATGCGCATCGCTTTCTCTCATTTTGCCTTCCACGCTTAGTGAACGCCCAGCATGTTGTCTAATTATTTGTATGAACTGCATTGCGTTTTGCATGCGTTAAACAGTACAGAACAATTCTACTGGCGCTAGCACAGAGATGAACTTGTTAGCGTGAACGCAAGCAGATCGTGTTCATGAAGCTTTCCTTTTTCCATGTTGGTGCAAAAACATTGTGCTGGCATTATTACGAGTGCATAATACTCTATACAGTTCTCAAGAAGGCAACCTACCTCCAATCCGCATCCTATTCTTTAGGTAAAAGAAAGATTATTTAAGATCTTGATAACTGTTTTGTTGGCAACCTCTTCTACTACGTCGTTTCTATCTGCATAGCTTGCACAAGATTTTAGTGCGTTAATAATTAAAAGTTCAACAACGTAGCATTTTGACGCACAGAGTGCACTGAAATATCCCAGCATGGAGGAGTTGGGTACCAGTCCTGTAAATTTAACATTGGCTCCGCGTGACAATCAATCTTCAATAAATGCATCCAGGCTAGATATTACACAAATCTATTGTTTCCTTGGCTGCAGCTGAAATTGAATAGAACACCATTTGTCCCAACGGCACTCAAAACATCGATTTGGTAAGTACTACTCACGACAAGAATGCGTGCACAACATAAAGGCACAAGTTTGACTGGGCCGATACACGTACCGCGATTCTATGAACCCAGCTCCAACCGGTGACGTGTGCAAAGGTGTCATTGTGAGACTGAGAGTGAGGAGGAGGAGGAAAGAAGGTGACAAGGCGTTGCATAGTCATGTATACTTTAGCAATAGGTGCAAAAAGGAAACTTTGGGTGAGTTATGCTGTAAAGGAGAGGGGGAAAAGGAGGAGAGAGTGTAGCTTATAAAATAGCATTATAGAGTAGCATCTACACAGAAATGGGAAAGGAAAGTCTTTTTGTATACAAATGAAAGTACTTCCGCGCAGACAGTGTTTAGAGTAAGCTTGTTATTCAGACGAGTGTGTCCTCTTACCTTTTGAAAAGAGAAGTAAAAGATAACCAAAATGAAATGTAACACAAGCGGTGAAGACAAAAGGGTTGAAGGCTCAACGGAGTGGATAGAAGTTGCCCCTTACCCACAAAACCTTACACGTCGACTGACAAACGTTGCGTCAGCATATGAGTGCGTCTCGTACATTCAGCAAAAAATAAAATGGCACAGATTTATCCGGCAATGCACACTGGCCGCAAAGAACGGCAGAGAAGAAAGGAAAAGTTAAGGCAACTTCGCACCAGTAGTACAAAGCTTGGGATAAGTGTGAAGCTGGGGAGCTATGCAGGATGGGCCAAGCTTCTCGGGCAGCCAAGTTTGCTTTGAGCTCGCCCTTCGGCAGCCATGGCATGAAGACATTACGTGATAGCAGCGTTGATAAAAGTGGCTACAGAGCTGTTAAGAAAGGCACGAGTCGTCACCGCCCTGGTAAAGCCCAACGTCGACCTCTTCCTTATTAGAACTCTCTGATCACAAGCCCCGATTTTGATTGCTTGCTCTTTGTCGTTTACACCATATTCAACGACCTCCGTGCACCAACAGTGAGAACTGACGACGGAGACAACTAATACTCAAGAGTTATAAGCACACACTCTTTGTTAATGATTAAAAGTTCCTTGTCAGTCCTTGTTGAAATATCCGTGTTTCCTCTTGTGCCTGGCCATCCACGATGTTTACGTCGCTTGTTCCGCATTTGCGCCTTTGAACGCATTACCTATGATGAATTTGTGATCTACATAATCGGTTTCTGTTCGCATGAACAACGATGATGTTGACTATTCCACAATCCCGTACTGTAGCCTCCGCTTAACAGTTGTCTTAACTTCTTTTTCTTGGTATTTTTTGCCTCAAAGCACCTGCCTCTTCTATCTGTCTTCATCTGGTCTCTGATTTGTGGCTGTGGTTGGGCATTCCTCGCCTAAATATTATGTCATCCGCATTGCCCTCAACCTTCACGTCTGCAGTTTTCTAGAAGATAATTTCGAGAAATACAGCCACGGCCATGTCTGCGTAGAACACGCGAGCAGCCGCTATTTGCTCTACGGGGCCAAACTTTGAGGCAGTAGCGGGCTCCGACGTAGTCAGCCTGACAACTACGCAGCCCATGCTTCTGATACAGCGCTTTAGAGCCCGAAACTACCTCCAGGTTTCGCACCGCAAAGCAAAAACCGGCTCCTTGCATGCTCTACCCAGACTTGGCTGCAGCTGTACAAGGTGCTTCCTTCTGTGTCCTCACGGTGTTCCTCCTGTTTCTTTTCGCTCTATGAAGTGGCCTTCATTATTTTTTCGTCGGGCACGTTGGCGCACGGCAGTGTGGGTGGTATAACAACTGAGTTTGACAACGTCGTCTTGTACGCATCCTTATTATCTCATGAATGGCCTTTTGGACTCACAAAGCCTTCCCGCTTTTCGGTCAGAAGAATGCCTACACCCGCGAGCACCGGAGTCGTTGCAGATGTCTTGTCATAAGCTTTAGGAGTACTGCATGTTGACGAGAATTCTGAAGTCGTGGAAAGTGTCTTTGGACTTCGAGGTTGCTATTCGGTGTTGATCTTCGATAAGGAATTCAGTCTCTCTGCTTCCAGATTGTCGCTCTATTTCTCCTGAGGTGGACTCATCTAGCGCGTGGGCGATAATATCGCTATTCGGTGCGTAATAGCTGGATGGCGGGGACCTCGACGGAGAGAGCTAGTTCTTTTTTGTGTTTCTGTTCTCATGCGTTGTTTCATTAAAGGCGAAGCGTTTCTTGGTTTATTTTGGCGACGTATCTATCTATTTATCTATCTATCTATCTATCTATCTATCCATCTATCTAGCCTCCTACGACTTTCAGCTGTCTTAGCCATTTCAATGATTGTATCGATACAAAACTTGGTATGCAATAACATGAATGAATATCGTGTATAAGTAACTACTCATACCATGAAAGTCATGATATAAATGTCGTGAATGTCATGATTTTTATTTCAATGTCTTGCTGCTCTTGCGCTTGTTTCGTTCACATGACATGTTGCAGAACTGGTATGGTATGGCATCACTGCATGGCTAACAAGTGGCAGGCCCTAACGTGGAAATCATGGCATGCCTGTCATGTAATACCATATTAATCATGACTACGCTATACGCTCATGGTGCGATCACGGTCGTTTCGCTTGCTTCACATATACCAAATTTGGTATTACGCCACGTGCATGAATGACAAAGGTATGCGACTGGTGCAGACATGATAATCATGAGATGCGTGTCATGTAAGAACATGACTACTTGCCACACTCAAGGTGCCAATACACTTCGATGTGATTTGGCGCGTGTTCGTTTCGGGGCGTCATGCCGGCAATGCCACGCCAGGCGCCGTGTGTGCCGCGCTGCGGTGCTTTGGCGCATGCACGTTTAGGCGCCCGGTGTCTCTCTGTCAAGAAGAGACGCCGACGCAGTGCTGTCTGGGTAACGTCATCGGCGAGAAACGCCGCATGTCGCATTTGGCGCTGGTTGACGCCGTTCCGCGCCGACGGACGCTGGTCGCGCCTGGCTTCAGACTACGTAGTGCTCGCGTTTTGCTAGCGTAACGTCACTGCACCCGTGGGCTCGTGTCAACGTTACAGCTGAGAATATTGGGCACTTCATGATGCGCTGGCGGCCGTTTCACTAACTTAACATATATCAAATTTCGTGTTACGTGACGTCAATGGATGACGAAAGTGTAGGACAGGTCCAAACATGATAATCATGATATGCTTGTCATGTAAAACATAACTACATGCTACGCTAATACGGCGGTCGTGGCCGTTTTGCTAACTCAGCATATATAAAAGTTGGTATTGCGTGACGTAAATAGACGACGAAGGTAACTGGCATTTTCAAACATGGTCATCATGACATGCGCGTCATGCAAATCTTGGCTACATGCATGCTACGCTCATAGCACGCTCGCGGTCGTTTCATTAGCTCAACATATACAGAATTTGCTATCTGGTGACGTGAATAGATGACAAAAATAAATGGCACGTCCAAACATGATAACCGCAACGTGGAAGTAATGCACGGCATAATTTACATCCGCCTTGTAAGGTTGTGCTGATTTTGAAGTGACATAACAATCTTTCTATTCGTTCTTCGCATATCATAGATTCTCACTGCACGTGGGATCTGCAAACTTTGTTTGCACGTGAGCTTGTGAAGCTTTCAATGCATCTTCGATCTTATACTCCACTCCCGCCCTTGCTAGAACGGTCTTATGCTCATAAACCTCGGCTTGCTTTATCTCTGCTTCTAAATGATCAATGTACACCGTGTTTTCAATCTTCTTAACAATTCCTCTGCGAAGCTCGTGCTGTCCGGTCGAAATACGGCAGATATTGCGCAACTCACGTATTGGTGGAAACGTGAGAAATCACTGGCTTGCCACGTCACGAGGCGAAGTCGGAGTCAACGCACACAACAGCAACAAAGATCTGCTCAACGAAGATACGGGCATCGTCAAGTTGTCATGCTTCGCCATTTGGGTCGCTGGTACGACTAGGCCTCGCACATCAGCTTTACCCACGGTGGTTTCACAAAAGTACACTAGGCTACGGACGCAGCAAAGTATGTGAAGTTTATTCCGTCTCACATCCAACGACCATTCCTTCTGAGCCTCACGGCACCAAAATGTTGAAGAAAGGACGAGCCCCCATCCCCATGGTGAAGCCCATCGTCAACCTCTTGTTCTGATCTCAACCCCCAACGATAATGGCGTCGCTCGTCATCGTTTAGACAATATTGAACAGACATAATATAGACAGCATGTAAACTGAAATCGTCCTTTCTACTGGTATGTCAAAAGGCAAAGGAACTCGCACTTCCGCTTTGGTGTAGGCCGTGCTTTATCACAGGTATATACAGTCACGCGCTCGTGACACTTAACGAAGGCGGCAGTCGGTGTTTTCAAGACAAGTTTGTATTTAATTTAACCTGTGCCCTGAAACAAAAGGTGACTCTGCAGGCAATACGTGTTGTAGACTGTTAGCGGTGAACAAAGCGTTGGATGTCGACAATATGATCATCACTGGGACGCGCCGTCTTTGATACATCACGCTCCGAGCTTTCCAATCTTATCCTTGGTGGTCGCGCAAGCTGGAATAAGCTTGCATTGTGTGCGAAATTGTAACAATCAAGTGCGTAGTAAAACAAATTAGGAAGAAGGTGTGAGGAAGGCACCTTTTAGCTTTTGGCAGGGTCACCCCCTTGAAAGGGTCCTTTTTCGCTCTCTATGCCATGGTAAAAATATTTCGCAGGTTGGATTGGGTGGGGCACGAGTTTGGGCGCTGCCCTATAGGGTACGCCCACGGCTGCAATCGCGAAGCTTCTTGAAGGCCAACTCCAGCGATTTTTTATGTTAGTGGATCTAAATGAAATTATCTGGGTACGTTACTTTCCACATTTTCGTCATTTCAGTCAAATTACATGCTTGAGATATGCGCCGATTGTTCGCAAATGAATTTTCAAGATAGCCTCAAAACACTCACCTTCCTTGCCAGAATTATTGGCAACACTGTCAGTGGGACGTCATGTTTGGCATTGCGACTGGGTCAACGGAAGTGACCCAGTCAATAGCATCGCTAACTTTGGCCGCTACAGCGTTTACTGTACATTCACTGTGTGTTTACAAGGCGACGGTGGCGGCGTTGGCACGGAAGAGCTTCCTTCCTTCCTCTGTGGTGTTTGCCTGCTCTGCTCGGCACGCTCGCCTTTGAATCACTGCCTGCTCTTCCCGCTTTTCACTATCTTCATATTCCGCGCCGTGGGAACAACTATACGACCACCGGTTCTTACCAAATAGTACGCCATACGTAGCAATACACTCGGTGACGTTTCGAATTTGGTATTGCGCATTTTTGCTTAATAAAATTATTTTCGAGTTTGCTGAGCACCTCGGCTATCGGGCTCATGACAACATTGCCTCAAGAACAAAGAGACACAATAATCCTGACATGGCCAAAGTGTCGCTGGAGTTGGCCTTCAAACAGTACACCATGCTCTGGACCTAGCAAGGCTAACAGTCTTTGCAGGTCGAAACTCGTAGCACTACGAGCATTACCTGTGCTCACATATCCATCCGCCTCCACAGGTGTTGTCGCTGCGTTGAACTACGTGTCGTATGTTCCACGCAGCATCAGACGGCGGTCCAAACCAGGCATTCTGGTCAACACCACTGCGGAAGTCGCGGGGCCAGTGGTAGCTGCTCATAACGCGAGGCAGTCCGTACGGCCAAGCTAGCATGAAAGCGATGGCCATCTTGTACAGTCGGGGTTCGAAGAACGTCAATATATCCGCGCCGCCAGCTCCGTGACCCCGCTGGTTATCATGGTTGTCCACGAAAGTGAGAGCGTCTCCACCCGGAAGGAAGCCCCAACCCTCGCCAAAGTTTCGAAGGTACTTGAGGAGCTGGTTTGGTCTTTTCCTGAGCACGTCTCCTTCAAAAAAGCAAAAATAAAGTATGTTACAATCAGTAATATATTACTAATGTCCTACGTAAGGTATTTCACTACTTAGGTCCCAACATCTGCAAAACGAACTTATATTTGACTAGGATATGTACTTTGCTTTACATAAAATACATTACGAATCGCGGGACAAAAGGAGCGTGCAGAAGCTTTAGCGTCATATGGAGAGGTAAAACATATCCACTCATAAACAGAAGTATGTTACAGGTTGGAACCGCTTTTAAATAGACATGGTTCTCCTCTGATCATCATGACATTGAGCACAATCCACTAGACACTGAGCGAACCTCCCCCCCCCCCCTCTGCTTTTTTTTCGGTGTGCGGTATATAGTGCAACTGCTGTATAATTTAGGCACAATATAGAGCACAGTGCCCGTATGTGAATGCATCCTGCAGCCGGTGGTGCCTCATACAAACGTCGCCGTTGGTTTACGGGAGCTATCGGCTGACAGCAACATACCATGCAGCAGCCGCTGTAAGCTCCTATGATATTGAGGATGGACCTCTGTATGAAGAGAAAGCAAGTGGCAACGTCACGCGAGCCCTCTTATCTCTTTTCGTTTCACACTACTGCAACGTTTGAGCGTGTTGTTCACAAGAGCGTCTGCTTTGCGCTGAATTCGTTCTTTCGCCGAGCATGGAGGGTGGCTCAATGCCCTCTAAAACTGACAGGCGAGCCGCATGCAGCCCGCGGCCCATACATGACTGTCTTTGTCTCCTATTTAATTTATGAGTTTGTGACCGCTCGTAAAATATTTATACGCGTTTGCATTAAAATGAACTCTCCATCAAATGAATACCCATTTAACGAACATTTCATACTAACAAACTTTTTAAAATCCCTAGTGGTTTTCGCATGCATTATTCGCAAAATGTTTCAGTAAAAGAACTTTCTGAATTGCAAATATTTAAGTTGAATGCAACTATCTGCAGACCTAGGCCTGTTTTTTAGATGAATTTACTGAAATTTTGCGTTCTCCAGTAGTGGCGCAGCCAATCGATGGTGCCCCCTAATCACCCATGCGTCGGCGGCGCTTCTACATCGCTCGTGCATACCGTGCCGCCGTGGCAAAGCTGCCATGTGGCTGGTGAAAGCACAGCCGCGCTAAACTGCACCTGCGCGCTCGTTTCTTAGAATAGAGTTAATATACTTCTTACGCCTTTCACAACGGGTGTAGTACATGCCTCTTGCCGCTGCTTTGAGTGACTGCTGCTACCCTGATCCTCCTCCGCCACTCCGTGCAGCGTGCGCAACGCCTGCACATGACTTGTGGCACGCTTCTTCACTTTCCATGGGTTAAAAAACCAGTGAAAAACAAGGAAAGATAGTCCTCGAAAACAGTACGCGTGGAGTTAGGAAAAAGTTTTCCGCCGTGTGCTCTGGGCAGGAGATGCAAGGTCATGGTCACAGTGCCTATACCGCCGATGGCTGGCGAAACTACTCAGAAACTTGGCCATTTCTTTCGCGACGGGTAAGAAGGCCATAAATAAAGAAGCGTGCGCAGGTGTAGTCTAGGCTGGCCGTGGTGAAAACTAGGCACGCGTGCTTCAATCGCATGTGCGGAACTATGAGATATAGAATTTTTTTTCGGAGTTTATCCTGAACGTAAAGAAGCAGAGGGTGACGAACAAGATGTATTTGCTGAGGCATGTTAAAATCCTACATCTATAGCCGAGGCTAAACTATAGTAGAAAGCTCTGAAATTTCGTGATACGGCAATGAGCTCTGCCAGAGGGAGTGCATTGAAAGCAGACAAGCCCTTTCTGTAACAGCGAGGACACTGAAGTGTATTCACTGCCAAGTGAGAGACCATCTGATGACATTATACAACTTGTGACGAGCCGAAAGGTGAAGAGACGTAACACCAGGGCCTCTGCATGATGGAATGAAGGAGTGCCGCACAAGCCAGGGACTAACGTCATCATTTTCGTTCCTGTTGACCCTCACGGCAGCATGAAACGCCTCAACAAGCAATCTGTTTCGGTGCTGCTGAATGGGTTGTTGCTAGGTGAAACCATGGATATCCGATTGAACCTTCACAAGTACGTCATGGCGATTGGTGTTTTGCACACGACTTCACTGAACACACTACGAAACTTCACAGAACATGATGAAATCAACCTCCGTCCTACATTCCAGGGGGCTCCAACGTCGTCACCGGCGTAATCTACGACGTTGACGCTGCGATTTCAAGCTCCGACTTGTGTGGCCTCATCAAACCAGCTAGCGAAGCTACCATCATCGCCAACATTGCTCGAAAACAGATTTCAAGGCCGGCTCCAAACCTTCCTGTGTAAAGGGGGGCAAATTCCGACATTCAGCAAGACCATTTGTGCCTAAACCACTGCAACTCCACAACTGCATGAAACAAAGTCCCATCAGAACCATATGCGAAAACACGCGAGTATTTTTTAACTGCGCTAAAGCTCATTGCCTCGACCTGTAAAGGCCATGCCCTGAAGTGTTCCAGTTGTGATGAGCCCCACGAAGCCTTCTTAAAGTAGTGCTCAAAGAAGAAACAAATGGCGAGAGACCTTGCATCACATCGCGAGCCTGCGGAAACCAACAGAAAGTGGCCACGTCGGCGACAATGACGTCGCAGTTCATTCAAGAGAAACATTGCCTCTGCGTCTATAGCACCCCTTGTAAGCCCTTCTTCATTGACTCCCTTGTCAGCCTGACCCTTCACGACCGGTGTGAATTGTGATTGGCCTATATTTTCGAAACCACAATCCCGCGGATGAGTGACAGCTGGTGTAAACGACAACACCGAGGAAGGCGTGGGCACACCTTACGCAGCTTCGCCTTCGTTGCTGAAGTCGCAGCGACATGCTGAGTCACAGTGCACATCGGTATAACAGCGAACACTGACCCCTGTATTCACAAACGCTTCTCTACTCGACCCTTCACTCGACACGCTTTTTGAGGGGCGTTTTCCCAGTCACAAACCAACCTTCACTTAAAACTTCAGAGGGCACGGCACTTGGCTGGCGAACAAGATGTCTAAAACACCGTTGCTGCTATTGCAGATGCTGCCATGGTTTATCGTCGGAATGCCTGTGGACGACGACGGAGGCTGCTTTTTCTTCGTCGATGCGCAGCGTTGCGAAAATGGAAGCTTGGAGAGCGCACTTTCTGGACTTGCTGCCACGGGTGTGACGTCACCAGCGACCAGTCTTAAAAAGGGACAACGCGAGAACATCGGCTTCAGAGGGCACGGCACTTGGCTGGCGAACAAGATGTCTAAAACACCGTTGCTGCTATTGCAGGTTAGTTACAGCTCTACGTATCGCAGTGATAATAGATACTTGTTAGTGCTGCCGTGCCCTCGTAGATGTTGTGCTATTTTGAACGATTGCTGGTCAGTACTGTTACTGCTGATGGCTGGTGATGTTGAGGAAAATCCAGGCCCAAAGACTGCTGACATTTTGCAGGAAATTCTCGATAAACAAAATGCTTTGGAATGCAAGGTAGACGACATCAGGAAAGAAATTGCAGAAGTGAATGCTAAAACAGATAAGATACAGGGTGTAATATCCATGTTTGATGAAATGAAAGATAGAATGGATAAACTGGAGGCCATCGTTCGAGAGCAAAATGACAAGTTAATTGATTACGAAAATAGAAGCAGACGAAATAATCTCTTGGTGTTTGGCCTTCCTGAGAGCGCGAACGAGTCTGCGCAAGTGTTAAAAAGACGCATTGTGAATGACATTTTTTCTAAAGTTCTTCGCATAGAAGTTACTACAGTGGAAAGAATTCACCGGATCGGAAAAGTAAATCGTGATAGACCAAGGCCCGTGATCCTGAAATTTTACGACAGCAAGGAAAAGGATACTATCTTTAAAAGCTGCGCAAAACTAAAGGGAACTTCGATCAGAATAAGCAACGACTATGCGAAGGAAACAGTGCAGATACGAAAGAAGTTATGGCAAAGCGCTGCCTTGGATAGGGAGGCGGGTGCGAAAGTAGTTCTCGTACACGATAAACTCAGGATAAACGATGACATATACGCATGGGATGACGTCAGAGGCGAGCGCTATTTGCACTCGGGCAAACGTGGTACTGTTGCAACGAAGCGAAGTGAGCGCGACGTATTAACTGAGGCAAACGGATCTGATAGCCCAGGCAGCTCATTTGAGGCACCAAAAAAATAGCTAAGATTGCTCTCGTTCAATGCTCGCAGTATAGTGAACAAGACTACGCACCTTGAGTACTTATTGCTTTCCCACGATCCTCACATAACCACGATAACAGAAACGTGGTTGCATGAAAATATACCGAATGATTGTGTTGTACCTCCCAGTTACAACATATTTAGAAAAGACAGAGACTCACGTGGAGGTGGGGTGTGTATAATCATTAAAGGTTCTCTTAATGCTTCGTTGATTGATTGCGAAGTACCAGAAACTCTCTGGTGTAGAATAACATGTGAAAGCACCGTTTTCCTTATTGGAGTTGTATATCGGCCACCCTCAAGCTCCCCTGAGTTTCTGAAATCCTTGAACAAGTTTTTATGTGCCCATGTAAATGGGAACACTAGGTTGATATTGACTGGGGATTTTAATATTCCACATATAAACTGGAAGAATTTTTCGTACAGTGGTGGGGAGCCAGTAAACGCAGAAAAAATGCTAGAAATTATGTTTACCTGCAATTTGAAACAAATAGTGCTTGAAGATACCAGAATTACGCCGACGTCAAGGTCGATACTAGACTTGGTGTTCCTATCAAATAAATTAAATGATTACAAGGTGATGGTGCAAGATGGTATATCGGATCACAGGATGATCTGTCTTGATCTGCCTGTTCGAGCATTGAGACATGTGAAGAGCTATGTGCCAGTAAAAGTTAAAGACTATGCTAGGGCTGACGATACATCGATTCTTGACTATTTGGAGATCCAATTGGATAATTTCGAGAGCATCTCGGGTTTAAAATCAGTAGAAGAGCTATGGCAAGAATTCAA